AGCATTTGATTTCTTCAATTCTGAAGGTATAATACATCAAACATCTTGTGTTTCCTCTCCACAACAAAATGGTGTGGTGGAGAGAAAGCACATACATCTGTTAGAAGTATGTAGGTCTTTGCTTTTCCAATCTAAAGTTCCTACACATTTTTTGGGGGGAATGTCTCTTAATAATAACTCTTTTTTATCAACCGATTCCCTACTAGACTTTTAAACATGAAAACTCCTTATGAGCTCTTATTTGGTCATCCACCTAGTTATTCTCTTTTAAGATGTTTTGGCTGTCTTTGTTATGCATCAACTTTGCATGTGCATAGGTCCAAATTAGACCCTAGATCAATCAAATGTGTCTTCTTGGGTTACCCTTTTGGGAAGAAGGGGTACAAGGTTTTAGATCTAACTACAAACATAATTTTCGTGTCGAGAGATATTGTTTTCCATGAAAACGTCTATCTTTTTTCCTATGCTTTTCTTAGTGTCCTTACTTTTCCTTTTACTCAATTTATTCCCGCTTCTACAGATTACTCTCCCACTATTTCTTCCTCTTTTGATACTTCATCTAATGTACCTGAGCTCTCCCCTGCATCTCTTACTACCTCATATTTATCTTCTCCTCCTCTTGAGCTTCAGCAAGAGATGGTGCTCCCAATAGTTCAGTCACAATATCCATCCACCAGATATTCTTCTAGAGCCCGTCACCCTTCTAAATATCTCAATGACTACATTTGAAACTCAGTCATTCTCACTGACCTCACTCAGCAGTGTTTTGCTGCTACTGTCTCTCCTTCCTCTTTCTTTTTCAGCTCATGTCTTATACTAATCAATCTCTTCTAAATTCAGTCTCCTACATTACCGAGCCTACCTCATACTCTCAGACTTGCTTACGGTTGGCAGGTAGCCATGACAAAGGAATTTGAGGCACTCGAAGCAAACAATACATGGGACATAGTTCAATTACCCGAGGGTAAGAAGGCTTTGCCTTGTAAGTGGATCTATAAGATCAAGTATAAACAAGATGGTACAGTTGAAAGATTCAAGGCACGACTTGTTGTGCGGGAGGATATTCAAAAGGCATGCGTAGATTTCACATAAACTTATTCCCATGTTGTCAAAATGACAACTATTCGTTGTCTCTTGCTGTGGCAGTGAAGAAGAATTGGCCTATTTCACAACTAGACGTCAATAATGCCTTTTTACATGGTGATTTGCAGGAAGAGGTCTATATGAAGTTCCCTATTGGTATGCCAGCACCTAGTTAATCCCATGTATGCAAGCTCAAGAAATCTTTATATGGCTTGTGCCAAGCTTCAAGGCAATGGTATGCTCGCTTGATTGCAGCTTTGAATTTCAAGGGGTATTCTCATTCTCTTAACGACTATTCTCTCTTCTTTAAGAAAGTTCAAGGCAAGGTGTCTATTCTAGCGGTTTATGTTGATGACATTCTACTTACAGGGGATGATCTTTTAAAGCTTGAGTCTCTTAAGTTCTTTCTCAATTCTAAGTTTAAAATCAAGGATTTAGGTGCTGCTCATTATTTCTTAGGCATGGAAATCATCAGAGAGCCTCAGGGTATAATTTTTGGACAAATAAAATTTACGTTGGATTTATTAAATGATTTTGGTTGCACAGACTTAACGCCAGTGTCTTCTCCATTGGATCCTGCTACAAGACTCAAACTTGATGAGGGGGAACTTTTGTCAAATCCTACTTTCTATCGTATGTTGCTGGGTAAATTGAAGTTCCTCACACATACACGCCTAAACCTCTCTTTTGCGGTTCAACATCTTAGTCAATTTATGCAATCTCCACGACAACCTCACCTTGATGTGGTTGTTCGATGCCTCCGATATCTTATCATGGACCCTAGTTTGGGTATTTTCATCCCTTCTAATTCTTCCTTTGATCTACTTGCCTTCTGTCATTCTGATTGGGGGCGTTGCCCAGATACTAGACGCTCAATTAATGGTTATTATATTACTCTTGGTAGTTCATATGTCTCGTGGAAATCAAAGAAACAGTCGTTGATATCACTTTCATCAGCTGAAGCTGAGTATCGCTCCATGCGAAGGGTTGTGGCAGAAATCACTTGGTTGGTTCGTTTACTTGTTGATCTTGGTGTTCCTTCTCCTTTACCTGTTCTTCTTCATTCGGATAGCCAGACAGCCATTCACATCGCCAAAAAATCCGGTGTTCCACGAACGCACCAAACATGTGGATCTGGATTGTTATTTTGTGCGATAACAATACCTTTTCGAGCTCATTTATTTGAATTTTATCCCTTCAACTGCTCAATTGGCTGATGTGTTCACAAAACCCCTTACTGGGCTTGTTCATCGATCCTTCCTAGACAAGTTGGGGATTGTTTCACCACCCTCCAACTTGAGGGGGGGGGGGTGTTGGAATATCAGGCCCAATTAATGAATTGGACAAAAGGAATTTGGGTTAATTTGTTAAAGGCCCAACTGCTGAAAACAATACGTGTACATAGGAATATTCTCTTTTACAAGTTTGTTAGAACCTAGCCTATAGTATAGGGACACCTGTATAGAATATAACTGTTTTTCTTCTCTTCTACTTGTATAATGGAATGGAACACTGATCAATAAAATACACAGAGAAAATTTCCCATATTTCTTCTCATTTACAACAGTTAGTATCCCTTTCAAGATCTCTTGTCGTTTAGTAGGCACTTGGTTATCTTTTTATTTTTTTTAATTTCTTTTTGGATTTATGAAGTTGAATTTAAATATTAGATGCAGTTATATTTGTTTATACTTCTGGTTAGAGTTGTTAAAAAGGGTCGGCCCAGTCCCATCCGGTCCAAGCCTTGCGGGCCAACGAAATTCGATGGGCTAGGGCAGGTCAGCCCTTCTTTTGGAAGGGCCTGAAAATGTTCAATCCAACCCAACCCTAAAAGGGTCGAGGGCTAGGGCGGACTTAGCTCTTTTTTTCCATATTTTTTCTTTTCAAACTTAAAATTCTATAACATCAAACTATGAGAAAATTTTCAAATCAAATATGACAAACAATGATGTCGTTTCAATAACACTAGCAAAAAATCTAGTGTGATTAGCATGTATCAAGGATACTAGATATGCGAGATACATGTATCTGGTGTGATGTATCTCAGATACGCGAGAGAGACAAGAGAGTAACGAGTGGGAGGCGAGGGCGCGGAATTTTTCTATATATTCTAGATACATGTGAATCCTCTTGGATAGAGTGTATCCAGAACAAATTCACCTAATTTTGAGTTTATGTATCCCAGGATACATGTATCCGGATATACCAAAATCTGATAAGATTCGTAATATTACAACATAACGTGCATTTAAGTAATTAGCTTATATTGATATTGTTGTAAGTTATCCTTAAATAAATAGTTCTGAATCATGGGCCGACCTCGACCCGACTCTGATCAAACCTCAAGGGCCAAGGACCCCGACCCGACTCCGATCAAACCTCAAGGGCCAAGGACTTATATGGGTCAGACTTATAAGCTATAGTTTTAAATGGGCTTGAACAATGCATCCCAACTTTATCCCAATAACGAGTTGGGTTGGCCAGCCCCATGGGCTGCCCATTTTGACGGCTTACTTCTGGTAAAGATTATTTGAAATAGTATTTATGTTTCGAATGTATGTATACTGATATACATATTCAAAAACAAAAAATAAGTTGAAAATTTTGTTATAAGTGACATATTTTTGTAAGTTCAAAAGATTTTTTTGGAAAAATTGCTCATTTATACAATTCATTAGAAGTTTGGTTTATCTATGACATTTTTATCTGAAAAAAATGCTTATTTCTGTCATTTTATTAATTGGATTGATATAGATAAGTCAAACTTTTAACGGATGATATAAATCAGCTTTTCTCAAAGTTCTATGACGTATTTTAGCCTTTTTTTCCTTTTAAGAAAATGATTTAATTAATGATGTGACTGAATCATAATTGACCACATGAAAAAAATGAATTTGCAAAATCAGAACTGTTTTTAGTTAACAAATAATGGCATGGATGAACATTTTTCAAACGAAAATGACATAAATGAGTCAAACTTTTAACGGATGACGTGGATGAACCTTTTATCAAGGTCTGATGACATGTTTGAGCATTTTCCCAAATTTAGGATCCGTTTGGTCATGCGATATGAAATCATGAGACGAAATCACGAGATAAAGTTGAAGTTTTGTTTGGACATGCAATTTGGACTTTTTATGTTGTATGTTTTCTCATAAACATAGAAAACAACATACAAAAACTCGTAAGTTGTAAAACTATTGAAATTATCCTAATTCTCATACAATCTTACCAAATAAGCAAACATTTATAAATTTGTATAATACACTATCACAAAACTATTCTAAAAAAAATACAACATTTATTAATCAAACTTCAATTCAATAAAAAAAAAAATTGAACATAAATTATAGTGTACTAGTCTTTAATATAATCTCCTTACATAGTACGGATTATCTTCTCATGTTGAACTTGCATTTCTCGATCAAATGATTTAGAATACAAACCAACGTTGTTACTTTGAGTAATTTGTTAGTCAATTTGGTTGGTAAATAAATTTGACCAAAAACAATGAATTAGGTGAATATAAATGGTAAAAGGAGTTAATTTGAAGTAATAATAAATTCCATGTTAATCGTTGTATGAGATATAAATGGTTTAAAAAGTAATGATATGAATTATAAATTTATTTATATATGAAATAAATGGTTAATAGATATAAATGTAAGAATGTTTTTATAAAATATAAACTTACGGATCAATTCTTGTATTTGAAATCTCAAATCATGATTTGAAATTTCCTAATCATGGTTTTTGGAGAATTTTTTATTTGAAATCAGTGAAATTACATGTCCAAACGTTAATTTTATCTCATGATTTCATATTCCCTTATGTCCAAACTCCTACTTAAAATATGAATTTGAGATTTTTATGATCATTTTCAAATAAAGTGAAAAAATATTTTGAAAATTTTTTTGAATAATTTTAATTTGTTGAGTGTGTCCTTCCTTGCTCTTCTCACGTGTTATCAACGACACAATATTGTCTTCTCTTCAATCCCCTTCTCTCTCTCTCTCTCGAGTCTCGCCCAAAGTGAAGAAATCTCAAGATCGAGAAAGGAGAAAATTGTTAGCTAATCAGATTTCACAATGTCAGCAGCTTCGACAATGGCGGTTATGGGAGCATCAAGTTCGTGGTCCAGAGCTATGATACAGATCTCACCTTACACTTTCTCTGCTGTTGGAATTGCTATTGCTATTGGTGTCTCTGTTCTTGGTGCCGCTTGGTAGTCATATTTGTGTGAAAAGATCAATTTTTTATGTTCTTTTTCTTAAAGGGTACTCAAATCTGATTACAAGTTTTTGACTTTGTTATTGTAGGGGGATTTACATTACCGGAAGTAGTCTGATTGGTGCTGCAATCAAAGCTCCTCGCATCACCTCCAAGAATCTCATTAGGTAATTTGAGAGTATTACACTTTTCCCCATCTTGTCCCCGTGATTCCTGAAATGTTGCATTTGATTTACTCTATCCATTTCAATTTGTTTGTGTGGTTTTGACTTTGGCATAGAGTTTAAGAGAATAAAGAGTACTTTTGAATCTTGTGGTCTTATATTAAAGATATGTAGAATGTATCGAAATGCTCTTTAAATTTATAGTCTTAAACGTGGCTGGTAGAAAGTTAGAATTAAAGAGTTGTAATAAAAAAAAGACATTCTTTTTGGAACAACTAAAATAGGAGGTAAGACAAACAAATTGAAACTGAGGGAGTATAAAGATTATCCTTGTGAATCTTGAAATGTTGCATTCGACTTAGTAGAGCTTTTTGCAGATTTAGGCTTGTTCTTTAAGAAAATACTAGCTTGATATTAACATGGATGGACACAGGAATTCACTAAAGTAGTTCAATAAAAGATAGTGAAATTGTGCTAGACCTCATAGTGAAGGAATTTAATAAGATGTGCATATTATCATATAAATAGTTTTATTTTTATTTTTTTGAAATCAGTAACTTTGTATCATTTCAAGGATCAAAACAGTACTTGGGTAGTACTGAAACCATATTTACAATAGAGCTCTAGTGTCTTTCCTTTCTAGCTATAGAGAATCTAGAACATCTATGATAGACACAGTATCATTAGAATAAATTTGATTACACCAAAAACATAGCAGTAAGATGAAGTTCAACTTGATCTTCTGCACATCATTCTCTAAGCTCTCAAAACATCTGGAATTCCTCTCCTTCCAGATTGTCCACCAGATACAAGCTGGGACAATTCTCCATCTACTCCTATCCTTTGCATGTGAACATATTCCCTCCCAACTGCTAAGAGCCTCTCTTATCTTGCCTGGCATTGTCCATGCTATACCCTTAAGGTTTATGATGATTCTCCACAAATGAGCTGTGAATGGACAATGCAGAAATAGATGGTTGACTGTCTCAGCTGTTTCTTTACACAGGAAGCATCTTGAGCACAGTGTCATACCTCTGCTCATCAAGTTGTCCACTGTTAAAGTGGCCTCCTTTGCTAGTAACCATACAAAAATTGATACCTTGTGGGGAACTTTTATCCTCCAAATCTGCTTCCATGGCCAGTTTGCTATCTGTTGTTTGGATTGGTTCATAATTTTATATGCAGCATTGACCTTAAAAATGCCTTTGGAGTTGCCCTGCCACCATAAATGATCTTCACCAGCTTGAACCCCAGGAAATTGATCAAGTTTGCTGAGGAAATCAGCCACTCTTTGAACCTCCCAATCATTGCAATGTCTTCTAAAATTCAAGCTCCACCCGTTAGATGTCCACATTTCAGCAATAGTATACTGTTGGTGAAGTACTAGGTTGAAGATATCTGGAAAGACCAGTTCCATGATACCAACCTCATGCCAATTATCCTTCCAAAATCTGGTTTTGTTTCCGTTTGCCACTTTGATTCTTGATTGAGTTTTCAACTCACTCCAGAGGGATCTGATAGACCTCCATAGGCTGACCCCATATGGAGTATTGACTTCCTTGGTCATCCAGCTATCCTCTTGTTCATATTTTATTTTTTGGAATGTAATTACCCATATATAAACAGTGAAATTCTCTTGGAAGAAGGGATTAGCTGAACCCCGCCTACATAGGTCTGCCCTGTTAATATATAGTTCAGTCCTCTGCGAGTTGTCTCTTGTATTCCATATTTATCTTCAGATGAAGAATGCCTTAATTGTTGGTGTCTTAGAAGCTCAAAATGATTCTGTTAAGGTACCATATGCAGCAGATTGAAATCAAACGCTCTCGATAGGGTAAAATGCATTAACCCATTTTTTCTTATGAAGGGAAAATATTTATTGTGAAACAAGTCATGGGTAATAAACTAAAAAACAACCAAGTCTTGGGTAGGAATCATGTACATAGGAATTATGCACCTTGTGAGACAAGTCTTGGGCAATAAACAAGCACCCAAAGATGCTACCAGTTGTATATGATCTGACTAAACAACAAGATCCTCCAACATTTGTATCCTATTTCCCTAGCAAAGTTATGAGTTACCAAATATCATAACTACTAAGCTCTTAAGACTCAATAAACCTAGTCAAGTTCCAAATTTCACTACTTGTTCTATGAAATCTGAATAAAACTTCTAGTATATTACTTATATAGAAGTTGTATTCAGATTTCATAACAATAAAAATATTATTCATATTCGTTGGAGTGTTATATAGTGTCTTTACATGTACCAGATCCATACTCTTTGTTTATCCTGTCAGATTTTACACATGTACACTGGTTGAAGAGCACCCTAAGGACTGCTGATCTCTAGCTAACTACTTTAGTTGTAGATTTAGCACCACCCCGTCTCTCCATAACCCAGATTTCCTATGTGCTTGCCTAGTTATTGGCCATTTTGGTCTTCTTTTCCTGGTTTACTAAAGTTACATTCCCCATCTTTCACTTCGCTCTGTCCCGAAGTTGTTCCCTCCACTCTCTATCCAGAAAAAGAGAAAAGGAAAAGAATCACGTGTTTTTTCTTTGATAAGGTAAATAGTTCTAATAATTTGGGAAAATTCCCGTACACAAGTAGTATACCCATAAAATCTTTTGTTCTTTAGTGCGAATATGAGTTCATTGTTCTCTTTTCCAGAAATTCCAACCACCCTACTGTTCTGTTAAATTTTATGATACCCTTGTAACAAAACATCAAAAAAACACAAGAGGACTATGCTTAAGTGTCATTATATGCAAGTATCTTCACATACCTCCACGAGATTAGCATACCTTCCAAAGGGATTGATGTCTCTCTTTCACATCTATTTGATAAAGAGAGAAATTCAAACTCAAGCTTCTCCTTGACTTCCTCGGAAAGACGGAATCAGCTACCTGGATGTAGAGGCTCTACAAATCTCTTAGTTTGTCGTGTTATTTGAGCTGGGAATTTTTCAGGGGTTGGAGCAGTATATGGTGGAATTGTAATATTGCTGAATTACAGTGGAAGCATTTGTTAGTGAGATTGTCATAGATTTTAATATTTGCTATGCTGATATGTTCTGTATAGGACGGATTAGAGATATGATTAAGTTTTGTGTCAAATATGTCACTAGAATTAAGCAATAAATTTTTTTTGCAATAAGCTATTAAACAAAGTGGAGAGAGAGATGAGCAAAGGGTAAAACCACCCATTGATGCTTTGGGATAAATGTCGTCCGATGCCCCCCACGCCGCTCCATGGTATTGAATTATCATGAAGATGGAATTTGAATTCCCTCGTCACTCCCAAGTTCAAAAAGTTAATTGAATCAGTCAATCAATTAACCAACCTCAATCTCAAGTTAGTAGGGGTCGACCATGGGAAGTTTTTTCTAGGTCCACTCTATTCAGGATTATTTCCTTTCAATACTAAATGATTTATCAGCAACACAAATTTGGACCAAAGTTCTTGGTTATAATAGTTATTTTCCAATATTCTACCTGAACTACAAATCCGACAACCCTTAGCCCTTAGGGACTAAACTATACAATAAGGTGGCAGCATAGTGTTCAATTGTGTTATGTCAATACTTACTGTCTTGGGATATCTGTGTCACATTTGTGTCATGGGCAGCGATATCATGTTCGCATTCTCAAAATACTCTATTGCCCGACTCACTGTTTAATACTTGTTCCAAAGGATCGAAACAAACTTATGGTCATTGGATACATGTGACTTGTCCTTTTCATACTGATACAAAAGGCTAACTTATCTTTACTTCTTGTAGTGTGATTTTCTGTGAAGCCGTTGCTATCTATGGTGTTATTGTGGCAATTATTCTGCAAACTAAATTAGAGAGTGTCCCAGCATCCAAGATATATGCAGCGGAGTCCCTTCGAGCAGGATATGCAATATTTGCCTCTGGAATTATTGTGGGCTTTGCCAACCTTGTTTGCGGGTTTGTAACTTTTTCTTATTAAAGAAACTTGTTTGCATACAGAGTTTTCTTCTGTTTCACTTGACCATCTTCCTAAATATATTCCTATAAACAGGCTCTGCGTAGGGATTATTGGTAGCAGTTGCGCATTGTCAGATGCACAAAATTCCACCCTTTTCGTCAAGATTCTTGTGATTGAGATTTTCGGTAGTGCACTGGGATTGTTTGGAGTGATTGTGGGAATAATCATGTCTGCTCAAGCAACATGGCCTTCTAAAACAGCATGATCACGTACATCTGCTTTCTTTGCGCTGCCATTTGGAAGCTGTATTTGCTCTCTTGCCAATAGTTTATTGTTTTTGTAGGAGTATTAATTGAAGAGGTTCTTGGTTCTCCCATTGCATTCGCATAAATGAAATCGACATAAGCTAGGCCATGTCTGACCTGCAACCGATGTCATTTACACTGTTGTATTATTACTTCACTTGAACTGAAGAAACATGAATGACTTATAGTTATTTTTTTCCTGGAGAGTGCTGCTTGTACTTATTCTCAGCAAAGGAATATTGTTTGTACGCGGATAGCCGCTGAAAGTTAATAAGCTCCTGCCTGAATGAATGCAAATTTGGTTTTCAAATGGAGTCCTGCATTTGCCCTTACATATTTGTTTTTTCTTCACAATAGGCTTGGGGACGGGAGTTTCCTCTTATTCTCATAGCCCCAAATGTCAAAGTTGGTTATTAAGCACACAAAAGTGTAATCCCTAATCGGCTAATCCCTCTTGACTAGAGATCATGATTAATGAAGTGGGTCGAGACCTATGAGGTCTCAGGTTCAAATTTCAGCAAAGACAAAAAATTAGGTGACTTCTTTTCATATGTTCTTGTCTTGGTGGATAGAGTTATCTGGTAGATGTTGGTGGTGAAAGGCGATGGCTATTCCGTGAAATTGGTCGAGTGTGTGAAAAGTTGGTTTGAACATCATGATCATCAAAAAATAAGGCCTAATGATAGGTTGTAGCTACTGTTGCACCCACGACCTAATTAATATGCTGTCTTATTCAAAATCTTATATTATTAAAGTGATTGTACATTTATTTATTATCTCATTTTGAATGTGCTAAACCTTGAATATAGAACTTGCTTTGAAGTAACTGGCAACCGAAGGAACAGATACTCTTTAGGGGCAAATCCAAAATTTGAAGTCACAAGAGGGAAGCAAAGCTTAAAAAGTTCCCTTTCTGCAACTGAACCAACAAAACACTCTGTTAATGGGTTCCCAAGTCATTTTTCTTACATATTTACTGGATTTTTTAAATACAAATGCAAGATCTGCCCAAAAGTTAAACTGTAACATCCAATATAGACATGTTTGTACTTCTCGAACCATGAGTATAGGATGAGCTGCATTTTCAGCCAACCTGCTCTGTGTCAAGGAAATTTATGTACTGGCAAATATAAACAATATTTTCACTATACTACATTCATGAAGTCATGAATTGTATACAGATACAACAACAATAACACTGGCCTGCTATATGTTGGTGCACCAGAATACAGTCATTTGCGATATGGGACATATACACAAAATGCTCGTCTCAATTATGCATCCAACAATGCTTTAATAACCAAGCCAGTATAAAAACCAGTGACATTATTTCAATATCGAAGGAATATCGTAGAAATGAGGCATGTTTTTCTGCTGAAGCTCTTCACAATCTTCTGGACTTGCAGATTTTGGATCAAAGGACGGATCATCTGAAAGTGATAAACCTTGTTTAATGCGACCTAGTCTTCTTGAATGTAGAACCTGCTTCGTAGTTACTGGCAGCCTAATAGACTGGTATTCTTCAAGGGCAGAATTCAGATTTTCTACTTGCCACTTCTCTAGGCATTTGCCTAAAACAGCTGCATCCAATATCGACATGTTTGTACTTCTCAAACCATGAGGAGTAGTAGGATGAGCTGCATCTCCAATCAACACCACTTTGTCCCAAAAAATCTGCTCCAGAGGATCACAATCATAAATCACATTTAGGAAAGGCTCCTTAATTTCTTTAATCACCCTGACCAATTCAGGAACCCAAGTCTTCTCAGCTTCTTCATGCATGTTTTGAACCAAGTTTTCACTAACCTTCATTGTCATAGAATTCCCCTGGATTTCATAACAAACTATTGGTTTTCAGAATCAATACTCCCAATATAAACAGACAATAATCAAGATACTGATCTGGAAAAACAAGCATAAAGAAATGGTACCAAAGTCCCCCAGTCCACTCTTCTAGGTAACACTCGAATTGTGTTGAACTTGCATCATTAATTGTATATCAGATATGTGGTTAAGAAAATGATCCGTCCATCCACTCTCCAAATCTCTAATTATTATCTGATCTGATGGAACTATATGTTGATCCATTCATGATAAATAACAGTTTTACATCCACTTTAAATCAATCAATTTTAAATCTATTGGTATTCACTATATGAATCCTCTATATCACATTGTTTAATTCAGGTCCATATTGTTCCAACACTCACTAAATAAGAGGTACATAATACTCCCTTCATTCCCGTGGCAGCATGTCCTTTTTAATCCATTCCAAAAGAATAGAAACTTTCTAAATTTGGAAAGAATAACTTAACTTCTCATTTATTATTATGGCATGTTTACGACGCAAGTTTCAAAAGTTAAGCTTTTCTTTATTAAACACTGTGTCCACTCAAACTATGCCACATAAAATGAAATGAAAAAGGTAATTGACTCTTTTACATTGGTCTTCAGCTTATCACAACCCACAATTCTCCTTTGTTATCAGGGTTAACGTGAACAATCATTCAGGATTGACATTAATTTAATAACCATATCACTGGATTTGACAAGCTTATTACCTTGAGGCTTGGTTCGGGCTGATTAATGTACCATATCCAATTGAATCTATGGTTCAATAACTCATAAAATACACTATGAGTTCCAGAGCTCAGGTCAAAGTACAGGCATTTCCCAAGATCTGGATACACTTTCTTAAGGTTGATAATGGCTTCTGAGTGCTTCTTATTGGAAAAATCAAGAACCCCTCTCCACGCACAGTAACCTGAATATCTAACAGAAAATAGGGGTCACTAAAAACACCAAACTGATGCATTTCATCGATTAGAAGAGGGGAAAAGAAGAACATTAATTGACTTTATATACTAACCTCAGCTTAAGGTCAGGAAGGAAATGTTGTCTGATTGAAGACAGACAACCATCAGCAGCAATAAGCAAATCAGCAACAATGTTGATTGTAATACCCATTTCAAGAACTTTAGTTTCGACTTCCACTTTTGATTTGTCATCATACATGGAAAAGGAGAGGAACAAATAACCCCATAAAACAATATCTAGCGGTAGTGCACCGTACAAAAGGCTATGGAGATCAGCCCAATAAGCTGCTCTGAAATTAAAATGTTCATCCCTTACCAATGTCCGGCTCACTTTTGTTTCTCCATCAGTTGCCTGGTTCTGTAGTTGACCATAAGTAGTATTGATAATAGTTAAAGAATTGGTTTGACAAAGAAAAACATCCAATAACAGTATGATGTTTAACTACATTATTATTTTTAAAAAAAATTCTCCAAATTTGTGAAATTAATATTGGTGGAACTAGGTCCAAAAAAAACGGAACAATATCATAAAAAGCAGAAAGAGGAAACCACAAAAGGGAAAACAATAATAGAACACAAACTCAATCAGCGAAAATTCGAGAAATTTTCATGGTTGACTGCCTGAACTTTTACCTTATTGGTGTGGTTTCGATTCCCCACCTTGTAATCTATCTCCCCATTTTCCCCTTCCCCTTCCCTTACCCCAAATCTCAATTTGATGTAAAAATCAATATAGCTGGGGAAAGTAGCTACTCTATAACTTACTTGATCGATGACAAGAGGCAAGGTGGTTTGTTGAAGGAGTTGGGGTTGTTGAATCCAAGATTGAATGATTTTCTGAGAGAAAGGGTCAAGTCCAAGGCCAGCACCAGTGGGGCTACCAGTTGGAGGTTGTGGAGTTTTCTCAATAACCACAACATCCCAACCAGCTCTGATGAGAGCATGTGCACAGCATATACCTGCTATGCTGCCTCCAACGATCACTGCCTTCGGTTTCCCCATTTCTTTCTTCTCTTTCTGTGCAAAATCCTTTGGTCGGGGTGTGCTCATATAATCCTATCTAGGGCTTAGGCGGGTGAAAATAGAACCGAAATCATAATTCGAATCGATAATTTGGTTATTGAGTCAATGATTCGGGTTAGTGGTTTAACAGTTTGGATATCAGTTCACAATAAACTTCTTATTGGCTTATCGGTTTGGGTCTCGATTTGGCCATACTTCTAATCGGGTGCCTCAATAACTCAATAAGAAGTTTAATTAATTACATTTATATCACTTTAAGGCCTTAGGCAATTTTAACCTACACTTCACTCTTCAGACTCTTTATAATGACTTTATAGTTGACACTCAAATTTCACAATAGTATTCCAAAGTTGTGACATCACTCATTGATTCACTGTCACTGCTCCAACGCCGGAGAGTTATATTGAATATCATTCTCTAAGTGTCTACATTGAGGTTCAAATGGTTGGTTCTCTTACTTCAAGTCTTTGTTTTTATCTTCTCATTACAGTGAGTCAGTGAGATATGCGTCCAAATCTGCAATGAAAAAGTTTTTATTAGTAATGGTCTCATTGAGATCATTAATAGTTTTCGTTAGTAGTGTTGTAATGGTTTCTCTTTATAGTTCATATCGAAATTGACTTGGTTGTTATGAGGAATTCTTTTAAGTTTGTCAGTTTGGACAATATTGACATCTCTGTCTAGGCTAATATGGAGTTTTATTAAGTGTTTTATGTAGAGTAATGGACTAACATAGAAAAGTTCGTCAGTGCCTACTGGCTACTGCGTATTGTAAATTAGTGACTAGTCTATTAGTAATTTTCAATGAAAATTGTGTGAATTGTTAATGGTTAACCCGATAACCGAACAGATAACGTTCACTAACCAATAAATCAATAACCGATGAGCCGATATCTTAACGGTTCCATAACGGTTTAGCATGATTACAAACCGATAACCGATAAGTAAAACCGATAAATTTCAAAACCGAACCGAGCCGACCGATACGTAACCCTAATCCTATCGAATATGTTTAGTATTTGTTAAATATTAATGAAAAATATATTGAATCATACCAAATACTATGTGCATAAAATATACTTCTATTTATTAAGTTTAAAAAATAATAAAATCTTAAAAATCTGACCTAAAATAATAGAAGCGACTACAATCAACTCACATTAACATTCAAAGTCCTAACACTGAAATTTCTTATGTTATTCCAATTGAAATTAAATTAGTTCTACATCTAGTCTTTCGATTCTCGAATAGTAACTAGTAAACTACAACAATCTTGGATAACATGCTATAAGTTATTATATATTTTTCTTCTTTTATGATTTTTAAATTTCTCTTATTGAGTATTTAAATTAAGTAGACTTGGTATTTAAATTTCATCTTAATTGTGCTTTTAACAAATATTTGAAAAATTATCTTACCAAAAATACTATTTAGATCAAGTGTACAT